TTTCAGAAGTGCGACAGAAGACCTCCACCAGAACACCCCGGGAGGGTTCTGATCGGAGGCCAATCAGAAGACCCCAACTCTGATCCGCGGCCATCAGAGTTGGGCAGACCCAAATCGGAAGTGGACCCCACTCAAAAATTGCCCCAAAATAGCCATTTAATGCAATTTTTCACACATTTTTCCAACATATCTCTGCAAATAGAAAATTGGGAAGTATGTTAGCAATTATCTGCCCATATAAGATTAAGCTAGCGATCATCTATTGCGGCGCAGTGAAAGCGAGGTGCATATATGTGCTTGAGCAGCTTGCAGGGGAAGAGAGGTCGTGAATGACGGGAGGTATTTGCAATACAGGGAATAGGAAAGAGATAAGGTTACTTTGGACTTTTGCTGATAAAATATGTCCTAATGAGTAACCTTAAAGTTTGTGTTATTTACGAAAATACTCAGAAGCAGATAGAAGCACCAATATAGTAGCTTTTAGCTTTTGACTTTAAACTGATTATTTTAAGTAGAAGCAGATGTTTGAAAACACCCTTTTCTGCTTTTTTTAAGCAAAAAGCTATAAAGCACTTTTTTTAAGTTTTGGAAAACACTTCTTTATTCCATCCCTGGCTAGGCTGCCCACAACCGGGACGGTGAATACCCAAAATCCAAATATAAGGTTTTGACCGTCAAATATGCTCTAAATTCTAACCCATGTATTTTATAGGTTGAAAAGTAGGTATATGACAGTCATGACACTTGTGAAGTTGTTAAGTAGAAATTTGCTGGCTTATTCACAGAGAGAGAGAGAGAGAGAGAGAGAGTTGAGTCGAGTGCCTTGATGGTCACATGAGAATTCAGAAGTGCGGGCCTAGAATAATTAAAAATTCCAAATTTGTCTAATGTGATTTAATTTTTTTATTTGTACTACATTTTTTATATATAAAAAAACATATTAAAATTTTTAGTTTTTCATGATCTCTCAATGACACCAATATTGTATATAAAAAAAATTAAAAAAATTATGAAACTTCACCTGCTAGAGATTTTTTTGAAAAGTCTGCTGGAGATTTTTATGTTCAACATTTTGGTTAAATTCAAGTGCTAATTCAGATCTTATGGTTAATTTTTTTATATCTTTCAGTTATTTTTAAAAAGACATGTCTAAATTAACAATAGTAAAATTAAACTCTAAATTTATTTATTTTTACATCAGAATATTTAACTTTTAAAGATATAATTATTCACAAAAAAATACTTGGCAAAAAATGACGTATATTTACAAAAGAAAGGCTTTAGTAATAAAAAAAACTTTATTGGGTGAATATATTGACGGTGCTGGACTGCAGTAAAAACTGAATTGACTGAGTTAATACGTATAAATTGGTGGAATATTTGATATATTGATGGAGCTGGGTTGGGGTTAGCCTTATGTCCATCCCAATAGCCGGGACGGAGCCACCCTATAAGTTGTGGTGTCAATTGACACCAATGAACTTTTTTTACTTCATATATATGTATATATAATTCTTCAAAATTTTGAAATTGACACAACATAAAAAAATTGCTTAATTTAAGGAAATTGACCGATTATAATAGACTCCAACAATCAATGACATTACAAACTTTTCAATACGAAGCAGCCTCCTATTACCAAACTCACCATAACCTAAAGGCTCCCTCGCTCTCTGATTAGACATAGAAATGACCACCCTAATAAGACCAGATCGAGTCTCTAATCATCTGATAGATTTGAAGATCATCTCGACTTCCGAAGCCATCTTACTTCTTCGCAAGCAATACCTACCTACCTCAAAAGCATAACACACTCAAACACCTAAGGCTCCAAAATTAAAAATCAACTAGAAAGTAACACTACTAAAATTGCAAACTAAATTTCAGCTGGTGGAACAGCGAAAATCCGTACTTGAGGCGCCGTCTTCCAGACCCTAGTCCAACAGTTCCTCTGTGGCCGCGGTTTAGAAGGGAGATGAATCATCCACATACCGTCTTCTTCCTCCACCATTCGAGGCATCCAAATCACCCGCGTCGGTCCTTGAACCACCCAACTAGAGCCCAAATTCGCCCCTTCCATCGGACTCCAAACTGCCAGTGTTCCACCCGGATCAAACACAGCTGGTGTAGTTTTCATCTCAAACACCAACAAAGCCAAAACAGTCAAACCAAGCATCGGACTATCAGGCCTCACAATCCTAGTCGCCACGGCTAGGATCTGAAACCACTGACAGCTCCCATCACGCCAAATCCTCACCCAAGAATCTGCGGCATCTTCCTCTGATGAAACCCAGGCAGGCCTTCACCCTATGCAACATGAACTGGCTATTTCTTCTTCAACCGAGAGAGGCTACCTTAGCACTAGCCCAATACAGACCTTAGTCGCCTAGCCTCTCAGCGCCGCTGTCTCATCTCGCCGCCCTCTTCGTTACTCGCACTTCCGTGGAATCTATTCAAACTCGCCGCCTAACTCTAAGCGCTCTTCCGTTATCTCAGCACACCAGTTATCAAAACTTGAAATCTTCGCAACGTTTAAGGAATTGCCTTAAAAACACTACTTAGTATATACTGCGAATCTCTTGTTGAAAAACTGGTGGAGACAAAGGAACATATGGTGTATCCATAAGTGTTGGTCCCGGTTACACAAGGAACAGTCTAGAGGAGGGTGAATAGACTGTTTTGGTTTTTAACTTTTTCAAGCTAAGTACTAGACTTAATAGAAACAAAAGCAAATATTAAGTGCAGTAAGTAAATGACACCAGGGATTTTTATAGTGGTTCAAGGAACAACGTGTTCCTCTAGTCCACTGTTCCACTAAGCTTGTAAAGGATCAAATTACAACGCCTTAGTCCTAAAACTTAAGAATCTCTCCACGTCTTCTTCAAGCCTAGTTGTCACCCAGGATGCACTCTTTGCTTCCTGATGTCTGGTCCATTTTCACAGAGTTTCTTTGAAGTATCCCCACTTCACTACTCCAGTTACTTTGAGACGCCCTTCTTAAACAAGAAGACTGTTTTAGAAACAGAGATTTCTCCAATTGTTCTTCGTACAAGAGATGTGAAGTTGAAGCTTTTGAAGAGTTGAAGAACTAGAGGAATTTTGCTCTTTTGTTGGATGATGAGAATGTGAAAGTATGTCTTATCCAACGTCAAGCTTTTTCTTGTTGAGAGTGATGAAGATGAGATCTTAAGAAAGTTGCTTGTTTGAATTGTTTTTAAAGAGAGCAAAATTATCCGGGTAGTTCTTCCAAGTGTATCTTATATACAGAAAGTTGTCTTCCCGTTGAATGTAGAAGACAGCTTCATTAAATGCGTGTACTGTAGAATTGACCGGTTGGACCCACAAGATAGGCGACTTGCTATTTGGGGCGTATTAAATATTATTCTCCTGGATTCTTGGTTAATCATCAGCTTTAAGTATATCAACGAGTGAATTTCATTAAATGAGCATTAAATGCGCGTCCTGTAGTTTTTCCGTTGAGAGGCTCCTAGCCGTTAGGGGAATCTCCCATTAGTTTTGACCGGCTGAGGTAACATAGGAGAATTTCTCTAAGTGTAAGGCCTTCTAATGCAACAACAGAGAGAGACTAAGTTCAAGAGAACCTCGATCACTTCTGTCTGGTGATGCTAACAGAGGAATTGGAGGATCTTCTGTCCAGTCGACTAATCTAATGCTTACACTTAGAAAATTTCTAATACAAAAATTCTAATAGGGGTACTCTATTATCCTATTCAATCTGGCATCATCAAAATCTAAATACAATTATTCCTTACAATAAGTTTTTTCACTTGTGAAATTCGCTTCGGTTTTACTGGTGGCGACCGCAAGTGTAAAAAGAGTTTTCTCAGCCATGAAGATCGTGAAGAACAAATTGTGCAACCGAATGGGGGATGCTTTGATGAATGATGTCTTAGTTCTTTTTATTGAAAAAGATAAACTTGGTACCATGTAATTAAAAGTGTTGACAAAGAAAAAATTGTATAACGTTTTCAAAATATCGAAAAACTTCACATATTGTATACCATGCGAAATAGGGGTGGACCGGTTCCGGTTCGGGCCCGGTTCGGGCCTGGGCCCGGCCGGGCCTCGGTTCAGAAAAAGGAGGCCCGAGCCCGAACCGGTGGTGGGCGGTTCCGGTTCCGGTTCCGGGCCAGAACCGGGCCGGGCCGGGCCGGGCCACCCGGAATGTTTTTTTTTTTTTTCTTCTTCTCTTATTTAACCCCCTACCCCTCCCCCTCCACCCCAAACCACCCCAAACCACCTAAAATGGCCCAAAATACCTAATCCAACCCAAAACTTAAAAAAATTTCAAAAAAAAAAAAATTAAATTCCGGCCCGAACCTGGCCCGGCCCGGCCGGGCCGGTTCACTAAACTGGAGGCCCGGGCCGGGAGGCCCGGGCCGGGAGGCCCGAACCGGAACCGAACCGGTTTACCGGGCCGGTCCGGGCCCACACAGTAGCGGGCCGGTCCGGTTCCGGGCCGGTTGGCCCGGCCCGAGTCCATCCCTAATGCGAAGTTATTGCCATGTGTCCGTGTGGTAGCCACAAGGTAGCATACAAAGAAAATATTGTATAACAGCCACAAGTTATTGCCTATTTTCAAAATATGTTATGTCATCACACATTCTTTTTACTGGAAATTTCATAGTGATTAACATAACCAATAATCCAATATGACTAAATGAATCATATGACTCGGTTTAATTTTATCCTCATCCAGACATCCAGTTGCTCATTCGTTTCGAGGATAATGTAATTGAACACGTACGGCGGCAATTGAAAAAAGGTATATCAGTATATGGAACTAATGGAAGGTGGAATATTTTTGAATAGTGGGATACAGAATCCCTGGCAATAAATCCTCCCGGGAAGAGGGGGCAGCCCTCGGCCCTCGAACTAAATAAATCCGGGTTTCTAATTTTTAGTAATTCAAGTCATGTTTTTGGAAGCCCGGTTCAGTTCGGATTTCGAGTCGGGTTAATGATTTTTTTACATGAACTAAAATGATTTTAATAGTTACATTACTCGTAACAACTCCACCATTTTTAATAATAATTGTAAAGGAACACAATGGTAGCGGTACAAAAATCTCACCATCACAATCGAAAGAATTAAGAAATTTCAGGATACAAATCAAATACGGGGTAAAAATTATAGTTAAAGTAACAATAATCCGTAATAAACAAAGGCTCTTCGCTACACAATCTCTACACGGATACAGTATATTATCCTACTAAATCTTCCTGGGAAAGAAGGGGCCTGGTATGTGCTTTTGATCCATCTTGTATGAGAAGATAACTCAAGGTTCAAACTACCTCTTCCAAAATAAAATTACTTACGGGGCAGAATATCCATGAATGAAAAGTCATGGGAAAGAGGACCTGGAGAAATGTGTTTTTAGAAGGAAAATCAGAATATAATCAGCAAGTTTCTGCAGTTACTACCTACAGCTTTTATAATATGCTTTCCAATCATCTTACCTTGTTCATCTTCACCTAAAATGTGAAAGGGAATGTGTGCAACCATTTTCGTGCCACCCTCACTCCAATTTACACTGCCTGGACGCTGCACATCTGTACTACTTGTAGGTTTACATGGACCCAACACTGATAAACATATCGCGGGCTCATTCATTAAGCCTAAACAGTCCCGTGCACGCCTCCACACCCTCACATCCAAGATTCGAGAACGTACAACCTACCAATATAATCACTAATAAAAACTGGTTGCCATGTTACAATATTTAGAGCAAAAGTTCACTTATGGTCACATATTTTCATTTTTTCCACTTTTGATCACCCCTATGAAATTATTGCCACTTTTTGTGCTCTCAGGGTACTAATCTGGAGAAAATCAGCTGAAAATTGACTAAGTGTGTGGAAGGACTATCGCCATGTGCGAAAAGTGGAATGTGACTAAAAGTGGACATTATTCTTTTGACATTTCCCCAAGAATTTATTTGCTCCATGTGGGTGCATGTGAGATATCAAAAGTAGAAATTTGGGTTCAAAGTTCAAACCATCACCCATGATTAAATTAGCACATCCATTTCACCATCTCAACATTCACAAAATCTCAAGAAAGAGAGCATGTCTAACCTTTGCCAAGGATACACGGGCTCTAGGCAGTAACTCACGATGGTATGTGGCAAGCTTTGCTATTGCTGTTACAACAAAGCACAAAAGCCTAGACTGTGATGATTTTCTATATGCCGAACTGTTGGAGTCACCATTGGCTGCTTCTCCTATACCCAGACGGCTTTCCATTGAAAAGAAAACAATAGGTAAGCCTTTAACCTTTTTGTCATGTTGAAAGAAGATGGGAAATCAATATATAAGCTCACAATACCTTGATGAGAGGTTTTCATACAGTAGTAGTTCCAAGCTCTCAAAAAGTTCACGGGCAGCATCTTTGTGGGATTCCCCTCCTCCTCCATACTCCCCAATAGCCCAACATAATTGTAATGCCAGTTCAGTCTGACAAGTTATGCAAGGAAATATTTCAGCATGATTTGTTTTTCCCAAGGAACTAACGGAGTTAGAACAGTTTATCTTAATTATTGCAGGAGTGTCATTGATCTGCTGACCTTTGCATGAGTATAATGAGCTTCTCCTAGTCTGTCCATTATAGGCTTCTGCAAATATGGTGGGTGGATATTATGAATCTCATGATAACAGTTTAATAAATACTACGTATATAACAACTGGTTTGTTTGGGTACCTCACTACCTCTACTAGCCATTTCCCACATGGTGGTTTTTTTAGCCCGGGAATCATTAATGATCGTTGCTACTTTGTTATTTCCTGGTTTGTATCTTTGTTGTAGTTTCCTTGGTTTAGCCCTCCTTTTGATTGTCAGGGCTGCCCCCCCCCCCCACCCCATATCTTTGTTGTATTCCTTGGGGGCATACCCCTAGGGGGGTTGGCCTAAGGCCTTGGCATAAGCCCCCCCCCCCCCCCTCTACTTGTATTGATGGTTAATAAAATCAGGCTTTAAAAAAACAGTGATGCACCAATACACCAATATACACCAAACAATTATCAAAAACCAATTTTTTGCACAATTTTTGTTACTCTTTCTTTTTCCTTTTGTTTAGGTGGGTCTAGGGGTGAAGAGGTGTTGGTTATTCACCTTTTCTTTGTTTCATTCTTTTACTCTAACCTGTTATCAGGGTTGTCTTAACTTCTTTGTAATTAACTAAGCTTAAAACAATACACTTAGGATGTTTTTACTTGGACTGTAATTTGCTGATCTGGTCTGGTCTGAACTGGTCTGGTTTCTTTGTATTTTATAATTATCCAACTCTGGTCTGGTCTGAACTGGTCAGGTCTGGACTGGTCTGGGACAAATTACAGTCCAAGTAAAAACATCCTTATAAGAAATAGTGTTTTGTCAATTAAGGGAAAGACCGAGATTCTTCACATTTATTATCAAGATAGCATAGTGTACCGCATGTCTCATATATAATGTCCTTGAATAATGTTGAGTGCAATTGGTGTTTGAGTTTTGGGAAGGGGGGGGGGGGGGAGGGTGAGAAACGAATATGATTAAAATACCTTCAGAAGCGCAACAAAATTAGGGGAACGGTAGAATGCGGTGAGCATGAATTCTAAGAGCCGTTTTTGTACCTACAAACATGAATAACTACACATTTACAAACAATTCAAAGGTGGAAAAAATGGTGATTTCTATGTGTTGGGTCGATTTCTTTTGGATTCTGGCATTCTGCTGATATGTGTGTTAGAACTGCACCAGAATTTAGAACTTTATATACAAATTACTAAATTGTGATTGTCAAATTGCACAAAGATTCAACTACTTTTTTCACGATTACATGATGCATTCATAGGGCGTCATCAAAGATTCTATGGCATTCTAACATTGGCATTTTGATGAGCATCACATGATTGCATCTAAGCTAGTTGATGAACAATGGAGTACAAAGTCATTAAGCTTACCATCAAACATCAGGCAATAAATTATATCAACAAAAGACACATTTCCTTTCCCCAATTTGAGCCTGCTGCTTTATCTCCTATGGTGCTCTGATGAACTAGCAGCATTAATACCAATGGCGGATATCCAAAAAGAACTAAGTGGGCAGAGCCAGTCCGATATTTTTTAATAAATATGTACTTGTAGGTATTATTTATTGCCTCCATCCCAAAACTATATTCTCGTTCACTACTCATGCACTCAACATAAGTCACTCTTAATATCTGATTTTATATATCAAACTTTATCATAAACACAAATTTGATTTTGCGATTAAATAGAACTTTAAGTGTACTTTCCCAACACGAAAATTTTAATTATTAAGAATAAGAATACTCTAAGAATTCAGGGAGGAGTTCAATTTAAAATCAGTCAAACATCATAACATCGTAGACCGACACGGGAACGTGTTTATGGGAGGGAGTATATTTTGCATGTCCCCCGAATGGGTACTCATCCCGGCAGGTATAAAATCCTGTCTTACCGCTTGTTCGTGATAACTACTATCACAAGTATAAACTAAGCTGCAACTATTGGCACCTATTAGCTCAATATCCTAAATCAGGGGATAGTGGTAGTTTATATCGAGTGTAAAATGTGGAAGGAATTAACATGGGAATTATGTGGGTTAAAGAAGTATAATTCATTATACATGTATCAAGAAAGTACAATTACTTCACTCTACCCTCGCTACCGCTAACATGATATCTTCTCTTGAAATGTCCATCATGAAAATCAATTAAATATGTTTCACAAGAAAATATAAAAGCATATGTGTGGCATCTAATTACCTCATAGGAGAAAATCTTGTCAGGAAATAGAGTGGAATATCTCACCATAAGGATGGGAATAAGAGCACATAAAAGCGCTGTAAAGATATGCAACATTAATCAGATTCTCAGTTTCACAATAAGATACTAGCACTTCCCAAAAACACTTCATTTAGGCATAGAAGAAAGCAACTCTTGATGCAAAAATTAAATGCTGAAAATTTCAGAACATACAATCATTGACGTCATGGATTGCTACAGTGAAATAGACATCCAGAAGCCTGGGTGCAATTTTGAGAGCCTGATTCAGTCTCTCAGACTGAGGTGCGTTCACTACTGCTTGTAAGGTTGCAGTCATAGCAGGAGAAGTCCAATGGCGTTCCTAAAACACCAAGACCATAAAAGATTCAATTCCACCAGATGTTCCATTTGAAACAATTTAGGGTAATACCATATACACAAATGACTTATGTTGGATTAGAAAATGCGGTCAAGATTAGGTCAAAAAATGACCCCGACCAAGTAAGCAAATAATGGGACTGAGTTTCTGACAGAAAGGACCATACAGCAAGGCCATCATTCTCATCCTTGAGAAGTTCAAGAAAAATTGGATTGGATACAGCTATTGTACTGCTATCCATGGACTCTACATCTGTGCCAGCATCTCCTATTGTGGATCCAGTATATGCTTCATCCATGAGTGCTAGCAGCATCTGAATCAGAGAAGAGCGTTTCAACAGTAATCCAACTGCTGTGCTTTTAAAGAATCAGGCCATGAAGAATAACCTCAGGGGCAGTACTCTTCTGAATTGAAGCTATGCTGTTTCCAACTAGTGGCCCCGAACTCTTCTCTACCTTTTCCAATGCTACAACCAATACTGATGGAGGAAAATGAAATATCTTTTTCGTTAACAATAAAAATGACTCAGTGCCAAAAAAAATCAATAAAACAAATTATGGAGGTATAAGAATTACAAATGTAGAATAAAGAACTCACTAGGCAAGTCGATGAGTGGTGGGAACAGCGGCAGAAATGAGCCTGAAGAAATCAACCCAGGAAATACTCTAAGAAATAGCTTTTCTAACCTGAAATGATATAATTGCATTCATGATCATGTGTTTAGTAATTACTACCCTGTCCTGTAAAAATATGCAATAATATCCAACACGTCCTATAATGTAAGATACATGTGGGTTTGATACGGTTTTTTAGAAAAAAGGATAAAGTGGTTGTTTTACAATTCTAACCTTCAAAAAATAAGAAAGAGCAAGATGAGTCCACAAAAAGTAAAAAGATAGTGGAGTTCAATTTAAGAAAGTGTTCTTATTTTTGGGACACCCCAAAAAGGAAAGTGTATCTTCCAAAATGGGACGGAGGGAGTATTATAATCTTATCTCTATACATAATCACGAAGAATGCAATAGCTTGCTATTAGATGAATAGCTTACTTCTCTCCACTCCAAGCTAGCAGCTTCAGCAGCAAAGGGAAAAACTGTAAATCATACGTGAATTTAACTATTGAAGCAAAAATATAACAAGTCTGTTTTAGAACACCCAATTAACTCATAAACTGATACTCCCTCCGTCCCGCTAAGATTGCCTCATCTTTCCTTTTCGGTCCGTCCCACTAAGATTATTCCGTATCAAATTTGGTAAAGTTTGTGTGGTTCTAAATCATCATTACTTTTTTCTTACTTTATCAATTCAATATCAACCACATATACCCACTTTTCTTAATAACCGCACCACCTCCTTATGTTCCCATGTTAGTGGGACGGAGGTAGTGATATTTAATTCATCTACAGGGCTAAATAGAATCGCACAAGTTAGAGTACATTTGCGTAAACGGGAAACTGTGTAATTTACTAATGCAGAACTATCATTATTCACCACTTCTCAGTATTAATCTTAAAATGTTGACCTGAGGAAGTACAGTGGGGAACGAACTTGACAGCTTTCTCTTATTTTCATCCAAAAAACAAAGAGTTGCTTCTGCTACAGCAGGGTCTGCAAACTCACTGCATTTTGTATCACTAAAGGATTAGGCGATTGGAACAATGACAAACTTATATTCACACATAGCTGGTGTAGAAATATTGAAAACCAAAACCAACAAGGCAACAAGTAATGATACGATGTACTCAAATAGAGAATCATATGTAAATAGTAAGATTTATGCCATTCACATCTTCATTTCATTCATTTTCATTTACCCCAGTGCCGCAAAGGCTCCCACCTACGGTGGGGTAAGGGGGGTCGGATGTACGCAGTCTTACCCCTGTACTAAAGCACAGTTTCCGGATGACCCATAGTGAAAATCGCGTCCAAAATTGCATGGACTGACTGTTGCTTCATAACAAAGAAGCGCAGACAGTTTAGTGAGTCATTTTGCTTTATTCCATCATATTCTCAAGCCAAAAAATAATGAATCTTTGGCTCCATTGCAAATGATGGAAAATATGCCATTCACATCTTCAAGAAAAGGAAAGTAATAGACTAAATGAAAATTGTATTACCATACATTTTGTGCCTAAACTGCATACTAGGAAAGAAATATCAGAGGTAGGAAGTCTGCAACCATATGTATAAGTGTGCAACACTTAAAGGCTTGCTTTTTCTGGAAGGTATATAGTGTAACAATAGTTGAAGACGAAAGACAGTTCTGATTCAGTTTGTATCCGGTTGCTACCCAGTATCAAGGGTAGGCATACTTTAAAAAAAAAAAATTACTAGTATCTTATAGCTACCATCTGATGCAAAATACCTTCAGATGAATAAGGTGTTCTCACCGGCTTAGACACAATCTAAAGAAAGTCCTCAAACTGGGATCAGCATCATGCAGAACCACATCTCCAAAGTCAAGAAAAAATTGGAGAATTGCCTAATCAATGTAAAATATTAGGATTGGAAACAGATATGACTTTCACAGGTAAATTTTTTTACAAAAAATACATCAAAAATTATTGGACTAATATATATGGGAAAAACATGTCCCTAATCCATACGACCATACGTAAACTCAAACTTCTAGTTCTATTGTGGAATATGACAATCACAAGTTTCTTGGAACTTACATATTACTTCTCATGGCTTGTTTGATGAGTATACACAGAAAGACAGCAAAAAATAATAACTTGAGTTTGTAGTTTCTTTAGTTGTCATCTATGTAATAAAGACCTAATTTGATTTTTGGTGCTTCGATTGTGTCAACTAATGGCATTGTTATTGGCTTCTTGCTATATATTAGACCAATAATATTTGGGGGTTAGTCATTAACTTAACTATGCTCAGAAAACATACTCGCCCGTGGCCACATTTTTTTGGCATGGGCTTCAGAGTAGAATTTATTTTCTTAACATGTGCTAATCGGCATACGGACAATAAGGTTGAAGAAAAGTTGGGAAAAATTACCAGTAAAAGAAGGCCAAAGGGGGTTTGCGATTGACTGATTGAGGCCACTGCTCGTTGGAAGATCCTGTTGAGATGAGGATAAATTCTAGCAACCATTTCTTCCGAATTTCTGCACAGTTCACAGAGCTTCTTGACCTGAGTAAAATCAAGAAATAAATAACATAAGTCACAATCGATCACACAAACACGTGGAGATTAAGAGAGAAAGGTGGCGACGGACGGAATTGACAAGCGAAGGATCAACTGCGGAGTTAGAGTCTCGAGCGCCGGAAGTTAAGGATCTCAGGTGAAATTCCCACTCCTTGCTGCCGTCTCTTCCGCCCATTTGACAACCCTGACTGCTTAATACTTCGTATTAGTGATCACTTCCAATTTAATATTAGTACTTTCAGTATTTCCCTGATCATGTTTCTTCGACTAGAGTCTAGCAGGCTCTGAGCTTTTTACACTCCCTCCGTGTTCCGTGTTTATATGACACTCCGCTCAGTATACCCGTAACTTTGTACAATGAACCAATGAAAAATTAAAAGGTAGATTAAATCTAAATTAAAATTAATAAAGGTGATGTGGTCCAATCAAATGAATGCTAGGTACGGTACCCCTATTTTTAGAAAAGTACTGGAGTTGTCACCTTAATTTAAATATATTTGCAAAGTTATCAAGATGGTAAGGGTTGGTTTACAAATGCTTAAAAAAAACATTTCTTAGATTTTGGTTTAAAAAAATATTTATTTTACCAAACATTGTCAACTTTTTTTTCTCGGCTTTCGTGTCAAAAGTGATTTTACTTTTTCTATTACACAAAAAGCACTTATTTTACCAAACACTACCAACTTTTACTTTTCAAAACCACTTTTATTTAATCACTTCTCTCCATTTCATTAAAAAAAGCATTTTTTTAAAGTAGAAGCTGTTGGAAACAGACCCTAAGTGGTTTGGAAACTTTTTTAGGTGGTAGGATTAAATTCTACCGAGTGTCCATAGGAGTAGAATTTAAATCCACTTAACCATTCATAGCAGGTTTTGTAAACCCATGGTTTACCAAGAATAGGGACAATGTGTCATACCAACCTCTAGGTGCTTGCTTAAGACCATAGAGGGTCTTCCTAAACTTGTAGACACAAGAGGATTGAGTAGGAATGACAAAACCTGGTGGTTGTTCCACATAGACTTCCTCTTCAAGTTCTCCATTCAGAAATGCACTCTTGACATCCATCTGGTAGACCTTGATGTTGTTGTAAGCAGCATAAGCTAGAAAGATTCTGATGGCTTCTCTTAAGAGTAGCTTTGCTAGCAACTCTCATAGCTAATCACAAGAGCAACTCTGCTAGCAACTCTCATAGAGCAGTTCTCCTAGCAACTCTGATCAGAAGTACCAAGAGGGTCTCTCGCTTGTCGACTATGCTAATACTTACAAAGAAAGATTCTAATACATTAAATCTAATGGGGGTACACTAATATTCTAATCTATCTAGCATCATCAAAATCTAAATACATTTATTCCTTACACCTGTTATGTCCCATCAAAATTTCAAACTGTTGACATTCTTACAAAAGCTCTACCGAGAACTGTTTCTGAAGAATTAATTAGCAAGCTTGGGATGTTTGACATTCACAACCCAGCCTGAGGGGGAGTGTGGATTTATTTCCTGATTTAGAGAATAATTAACGCTGCACCTTAGATCTGATTTTGTATTAATTACCAGTATCATGCAATTTATTCTTTCTAGAAATAGGATATTCTATTATTTAGATTAGCAGATTGTATATTTAATCTCTTCGATCTCGCCTCAATAGGCCGTATAAATATCCTATCATTATGAGATTATAATATATAAAAAATATTCAGAACTTTCACACTATGCAAATCATAACGAACAATGGAAAACAGTTCGACTCCGAGCCCTTCAAAGATTTGTGTGGGCAATGGGGAGTTGAGGCCAGTAGAGTGTCTGTTGCTTATCCTTAATGCAACAAACAAGTGGAAAATACAAACAGAACAATTGTCAATGACATAAAAAAGAAGCTAGAGTTCATGAGAACGACCTGGGTGGACGAGCTGAACAACATACTCTGGGCATAGCGAACAACTCCACGAAAAGCTACTGGTGAGATGCCTTTCGCTTTGACCTATGGTTTTGAGGCTTGGGCTCCGTTTGAGGCAATTGTGCCAAGCAAGAGGATGGAAGAATACGACCCTGAGAGCAACGAAGAAATGCTAAGAGTCGAGCTCCACCTAATTGAGGAAAGAAGTGATCAAGCATTCATCAGAGCTGAAAACTACTGATGTCAGGTGAAGGAATACCATGACGCCAAGGTTAGATCAGGGCAGTTCGATGTTGGAAATTTAGTCTTGAGAAGGAGATCTGTTAGCAAACCTCTATAAGGAGGAAAATTCGCCAAGAATTGGGAAGGGCCCTATAAAATCAAAGGGATAGTTGGGCATGTGACTTACAAATTGTGTACTCTTAATGGGAAGCTGGTAGACAAGGTTTGGAACTCTGAACACTTATTGAAGTTCTATCAGTAAGTATGTTCGTAGTTCTTTTGAAAAAAAATAGAGTTTGTAATAAAGTTTTGTTTTTAGTTCACAGATATCCTTTACACTTAATTAACCAGACTTGCGAAAGGTTTCTTAATTAACCAGGGTATATAAAAAAGGAAAGGCCATGCCTAACTGGTACTCACAAAAAGACAAAGTATAGTTCGGACTCATCTAATTCTAGAAGCTCACCCTAATCTTACTAAAGATGAGAGCCAGAATAAACAACCTTTCCCAAGGTTAAACAATCTTCATAAACAAAATCAGATTTTCCCAACGGGAAAAGACAACCTTGTTCAAGGTTAAGATTGATTTTACAAGGCTAAAGATGAAGCTTGGGGATTCCAAGGCGGCATGGAATGTTCTTCCAGGTGAAGCGCTAACATTGGTATCCAATGATGGTTGTAAGACGATGAACAATAACTCCGATTTTCAAAAGCGCCTGAAAAATTAAAAGAAAATATTGAGAGGTGCGCCTCAATAAGACGACCTCTAGGCCATCTTTCTTTTTTGTTTCCAGCCACCCTTGTCATATGAAAGTGCAGGGGAAAAGTGATATTAGCAAATTCATTTTTAAAAAATAATCCAAACAGATCTGAAAAAATCCAAAGATGGAGGTGGTTTGGATTTCATCTTGACGAGACGCATCTTTTAGTATTGTTTTTTTCCAATATTTCGAACACTTTTGAAAATTAGAATTACCAGGGGCAGATCATAATGAGGGCAGGCGTGGTTCTAGCCCATCCCAATATTTTTTTTAATCAGTATAGGTATTAAAGGGTAATTCTAAATGCAACCCTCATTTTCTTAAATATATCCAACTAATTGTTTGAAGTACTTATTTTGCCTTTTACTAAACTCATCTCTTTGAACCCTTTATTTTTTTTCTTTATCTACGAGCACATGCACTAGATAGTTACCGGAGTATTATATTGGGGGGGGATCGGATTTCACAGTTGTGTCCGTCCACAAATCCAACGGTGAACAGAAGTGAACCAAAGGTGTGGCAGTCGCTTTGATTTGGCGCGCTAGTTATGCAGAACCCCAGGCCAACGTCTCTATTACAGACAGGTTTCCGCGCAATTTTCTAGGGTATCAATGAGTGCTAACACATACCTTTACTCCCAGAACCGTCCTCCAACTTAACGCTTCCGATTCAGTCAAGTGCAGAATTATGATTGTTCTCAAGAATTGCTTAAAAACATTTAACGAGACCATTTGTCACCAACATAAGTGGGAAAAAGTTCTGATGAGTTCCAAGCATGTACATTTCAATTCATTTAAGTTCTGGGGCCGATTTAGAGTGAGTGCCTTTTTCTTTTATGCATTTAACGGTAGTTTAGGAAATACTCCATCCGATTCAAAAACAAGTTACACATTTGACTTCATACATATTAAGAAAAGAAATTTGACTTTACTGTGGAGTGCACTGTTTGGCACTGTTTGGACACTGTTTGGCACTGTTTGGAACTGTTTTGATATAGATAATTTGCCAAATAAGGAAAGGTTTGAAAGTGGAACTTAATTTTGGAACTGCCCGAAAAGGAAAGGTGGAACTTGTTTTTTAATCGGAGGGAGTAGGAAACATAATTATCATCGCCTTATGCAATCTTCTCCCAATATGCTTGTTTGTTTTGAAAGCCTCCTATATAAGGGCTTATAAGCACTGATTATGCATATAATGATAGAAATAAAAAAACAGTCTTCCAACTTGACAATCTATACAATGACGTCCATTGTCCCGATGGTTGTATCGTGGGCTTCTCTAGTGTCGATGGAGGTAAGGGTTCTGTGGTGAATGGGTAAGGGTGGAAACAGGCCAGACTTTTGCCTAAACAGGCCGGACCTGTTTTAGAATTATTAGACCTGAGCCTGACCTTTTACTTGTTAAAGGCCTGTTTTTTCGGCCTGAGCCTGACCTGCTTAAAAGCCTGGTCGGGCCTAAGCCTGTTTAGCGGGTCTTTTAACCCGATATAAAATTTTCCGCCCAAATATTCACCAAAAAATTCTAATTATACGATAGTTTTGCTTTGAATGTCTAATAATACGTCAGTTTTTTTAATACGTCAATTATGTAGCTTATAAAGTTTTATTTACTTCAAATCTTGAAAAACTTTGAATTTCAATTACCCTAATAATCTATTAACACACTTTATATATTTGAAATAGCTAGTATTCTAATTTATAATACATACTCCATAAAAATACTATTACGCCTAATTTGCTATAGTTAAGTATACTAATATATAATTATAAATAATACAAATAAATTTAAATATAACTAAATATAAATATGTATATATACATATATATATGCAGACATATACACACACATATAAATAGGCCGGCCTGCAAAGCTAAAAAGGCTTCAGAGCTGGGCTATGCCTGACCTATTTAAGTAAATGGGCTTTTCAAAAAACCCAAGCCTAGCTTGATTATTAAACAGGCCAGGTCAGGCCAGGCCAGACCAGACCTTAAACAGGCCAGGACACAGGCCTCTGACAAGCCGTCTGGCCTATTTACACCCCTATGAATGGGTTTGGAAGCACGTCTTCTTTCGGTGCTTGACTCTTCAACCAATTCCTAGATAGGAGTGAGGATGTCATTATAGTGCCAGGAGTACGAGAAATACTCGAGTCCACGGGCAAATCAGAAGTTCCACCTGTATGAAATACTCCGATTCATAAAGAACTTCCACTTTTCCTTTTCGGATAGTTCCAAAATTAAGTTTCACTTTCAAACATTTCCTTATTTGGCAAATTATCTACATCAAAACAGTTCGAAACAGTGTCAAACAATGTCAAACAGTATCCAAAGAGTAAAAAAGAATGAGAGAGAGTACGTTGTACCGGGTAACTTTTAAAAAAAGAATAATGTCCAGCCCACCCACAATTAATCTCTTGCCTACCCCAAAAAAATTAATTCTCAGCCCAGCCCAGTC